GATATATTAATATTTTATTGGTTTCTTTAATTTGTGATTAGTAATCTTTCAACTTCTAAGGTGCTTTACTTTTCATCTATCTACTAATATATGGTAAAATACTCAGAACTAGTACCCTAGTCTCAAACTCTAAAGGTCAATCTTTTGCTCTGATGAAATCCAAATATAATTTTTTTCCTATGAATAAAGTTAGAAACTTGGTTAAAGGAAATCAATGAATCATTGAATCCAAATGTAAACATAAATAGCATACATGGAAAGTCATTGTTATTGCTCTTACTTAGCCTTATATATGTTGAAAATAATGACTCAAATCTCATAAGAGATTTTTTTGGGATTAACCAAATATTGCTTGATGGACAAGAAGACTTGTAGAAGAAGAATTCTAAAAAAAAAAATTCTTAACAGGTAAGTTTGACTTGCAGGAAAAGAATTTTAAGAGAAAATGGATTCTTAATAGGCAAGTTTGTATGGTTATAAATAAGTGAAGTCTCTACAAGGTTAGGTATAAAAAAAAGATGTAAAAGAGTTATAGAGTTTTATGGGATAAACACTTTTAGAAGTGTCAGGGCTTTACCTTTTATGGGTGTGTATGTTTGTTTGTGAGTGTACTAGAGGAGACTGAGAAAATTCACATAGGTATGATGAATAGGTACATATGGGTATATGTTTATTTATGTTGAAAGGATACACATGTGATATATTTGTTTGGGTTAAGAATACTTCATAGGACTAAAAGAGATTTAGAGGGTCTATGGGTATTGATTGTTGAGTGATTGATATGTTTTGATGTATGTTATTAATTCTCTACAACTAGTGGATCTTGTTTCTTATCTGTGGACGTAAGTCAGTTGGACCGAACCACAATAAATTGTTATCTCTTATGTGTTTGATTGATTATTTGATTATATTTTCACTGATGTGAATTAGATTAGGGCCTTTTGGCCTAACAAGTGAATCAGAGTTATGGTGATCTCTAACAAGTGAATCAGAGTTATGGTGATCTCCAACAAGTGATATCAAAGCTGTGGTGATCCCCAACAATATAAGCACCAATTATATATCTATTTGCTTATTTTTGTCTTAGCCACTTTTATAATGTATCATTCCATACAAATTGTTGGATTAGGATGCTTGACCCCCTTAAATCAGTAAACTTTGCATACACTATCTTGGTACACTATCATCTTTAACTTATATACCTCTAGGTATTTAATCAACTATGCACTTAATGGGGGGATAATGATTATAGATTCCAAAGTGATGATTAAGTTTATGAAATTAATCAAATTATGACCTTAAAAATTATAATGATTAATCCATCACCATTGGAGGATTTGATTTAGTTTAATTTAATTTAATATTATTTATTATATTTATATCTTAGAGTCAACAGTGAAAATAATATTACACTAAATTAAATAATTAACAATTATAATATTAATTTGTAAAATAAGATTTATATTCTATTTTAATCAACAATAAATTAGAATCTAAATAATATGTTCTCAATTTTTTTTTTGTTTTCAAATCATTATATTTCTAATTGATTATTTTTACTTTAATAATATCTTTATTTTTTATTAAATAAAATTTTAATTTTTGCACTTGACAATAATTTTAAGACATTTTTTTTGTCAATTAATGCATTGTTCTTTAGCAACAGCTGGATACTTTTATTTTTTTGATATTATGATGTTAAAGAAAAGAATGAATAAGAATAATTAAAATTTGGAGATATAAAGGAATTTTTATAGAAGTTAACATGGAGTTTCATTATATTGGCCATGTGATCTCGATGAAAGTTGGTTGGAGGTTGAAAGTGAGGGAATTTGTATCTACAACTACAAAGCATGGTTAAAGAGTGTTGAAGTTGGTTTTTCAATATGTACTCTAATGTTCAAGTCTATGAAAGGTATAAAGTTTAGTGGAGAAGGAGGTGAAATGTACTGAGAAAGTTACAATGAAGAGAATATTTAAACTTTACATACCTAGGCCTCTTCTTTATCTTATATATGAGATGAAAAACAGTAATATAATTGAGACAGTCGATAGTTGATGGAGAGTCTAGTGGAGTTTGGGGAGGGTCCATATAGGTGACAATGAACAATATTTAATGTTTTTGGATAAACGTGAGCTACATTTATTGGTTTCAGATAAGTTAGAGGCCAAGTGTTCAGTTTTAAAGTGATATATTGATAGAATGTTAGTGGAGGTGTCAGATCCCTTTCTTGGCGATGGGTGAGCTAGTTTTAAAACTAGGGCTTTGGATGTTGACCCTTATTGGTGGTGACGTGACAGTTAAGTGCGTGTTGACTAGACGATTAAAAAAATTGATATTGTCAATCGAGTAAATGAACATAACAAGTAAAAAAAAAACATAGTGTTTTATTATGAGTTTTACCTCCATTAAAATGCATGGACAAAATATTAGTATTCTATATTGGTATTAAAGTGTTTGATTGAAATGATGTATAATTCAATTGTATAAAGTGCATAAAAGTTAAATTAAAATTACAATAATACAATAAAATTAAAGATATTTATATCTTTTCAGAAAAAAAAACTAATCACTAAAAAAATTACTTATCTTTTTTTTTAATATCTTTTCATTAAAAAAAAAACCATCCATTAAATAAAATATTCTATTTTCTTTTTAACATATTATTCCCTTTAAAATACAATTTTTTTAAACACTTTTTTTCACCTGCAGCAAGTGTGATAAATTTTAGAGCAAAAAAGGCAATTTAAAATATATGAAAAATATGTTAAGAAGTATCTTGGATGTTGCATGCAAAAACATTTTTTAGCCAAATTAAAATAAGGATAGAGATAGAGATGTGTATTATATCATAAGGATGAAGATGTGTATGAGTATGATTTTTAAATTTTGATTAGGTAAGGGATGAAGATGGGTAATATAGTACACCTCCTACCAATACCTTATATATATTTACATATATTTAATAAATAGATTTTTTATTAAATAATATAAATTATTATTTTAGATTAATTAGAATTGATATATTTTTATTGAAAAAAATTAATATATACTTATAAAAAATTACCTAAATATAAAAAATAAAAAATTTTAAAATAAAATTTAGTTTTTATTTTTTAAAACTATGGGTATATAGATTATTCATACCTATTAAATACTTGTGGTGATAGAGATGTAGATAAATTTAAAATATTTGCTTGGCATGAGTACGAAGATAAATAAAATATAAAAATTTAGAGTTAAGGATGGGTATTAGTCTACTTTACCCATTGACATACATACTTAGAAAAGAAAATGGTTAAATATAAAAATAACCTTTGAATTATAAATTTTTTATTAATTTGATACTTAAAGAAATAAAATTATCAGATTGATATCTAAATTTTCATTCGATTATCACGTTAATCGTTTAGACTAACACCATTAGTCAACTTTATTAAAGTGACATGAACATTTAACAAGATCTTATATATGTAAAAAAAAGTTTAGTTAATGATATCATCAATGTTATGTATCAATAAAAAAATTTTATAACTTTTTAAAAATTACAAAAAATTCTAAAAAATTTATAAAATTCTAAATTTTTTTCAAAAAGTTTTAAAAATTCTAAAATCAAAGTTAAAAATTTTTACAAAATTAAAAAACTAATTTTTTTTTTAAATTTAAGGAAACTTAAAATTTTTCAAAAATCTCAAAATTTAAAACTCAAAAAAATTGAAGATTTTAATAAAAACAAAAGTTTCATAAAATTCACAAAAAAAATTAAAAATAGTTAAAACAGAAAAATATAAAATTTTTTAAAAATTGAAAAAAAATTTTAAAAATTTTTAAAATTTTTCATTTTTTTTTAATTTTACAATTTATAATTTTTATATATTTTTTGAATTTTTAAATTTTTTTTGAAAATTTTTGGATTTTTATTAAAATTTTAAGTATTTTTATATTTTTTATTTGTCATAATTTTTAAAAAATTTTCAGAATATTTATTATTTTTGAAAATTTTTAATATTTAAAAATATTATAATTTTTTAAGAATTTTTTAGATTTTTCAGGAAATTTATATATTTTTTTAAATTTTCAAAAATTTTGAAAAAGTTTTGGATTTTTTTATTTTTCAGTTTTTAAGTTTTTGTGATTCTTTTAAACTTTAAGAAAAATTAATTTTGATTAAAAATTTAATTTTCTTGAACTTTCTGGATTTTTTATAAATTTTCTAAATTTTTTGAAAATTTGAAATTATCATAAATTTGATAATTTATAAAAATATTTCATATATTTTTTTATTTTTTTATAAATTTTAAAATATTTTAGAAATTTTAAAATTTTTAAAAATTATTTTTTGAATTTTTTAGAAATTTTAAAGTTTGTTGAATTTAAATAAAATTGAAAAGTTTTTTGAAAATTTAAAAATTTTTAGATTTAAAAAGATTTAGTATTTTTTAAAATTAATTTTTAGAAATTTTTAAACATTTTAAAAAACATTTTAAAATTATTTTAGATATTTTTGAATTTTATTTTTTAAAATTTTTTTGTTGAAATGGTATTAATAATGTAACGTTAATTAAATTTTTTAAAATATGTTATCCTTTCATTGATATTAATGGTCATTAGCAAAGTTATTATAATATTAGTGTAAGATCAAACATAATAATGAAATAAAAATTCAAATACAAATCCGATAATTTTATTTTTTTAAAATTAAACTAACAAAAAAATATATAATTTAGTAACCATTTTTATATTTAACCTAAAAGAAAACAATGAGATGACATAAAATTTTTCAAAGGGTGGACAAGCTAATTGTAAATAAAATATTATAATTAAATCAATAATTTATTGCTGCATGATATGAAAAAAATTTTGAGATTTTTTAATTTAAAAATTTTAAATTTATACATATTAAATATTATTTTTTAAAAATTTAATTATATAAATTAATTAATTTAAATGTCAAATACATATCAACTAAATATCATAATTTCGAATTGCAGCCTGCAATCCGTTAAACCCAACTCAACTGTAATTCCAAAAAGTTGTTAACGAAACATAAAAACGTTCCTTCGAACAAACGAACATTTTTTAAAAAATTTTTAAACCCATCCTTTTGCCAGGTTTCCATAGTCGTCAACAAAACAAAACAAAACTCCTATTCCTTATCGTCAACGAAACAAAAGTCAATTTAAAAGCTAACCCAAGATTTCCCCAACTCACGAACGGACCTTTCTCCCTCAACATCCAACTCAAAACCCTAATGGCTCCCTAATTTTAGGGCAATTTTCAATCCTCTCCCTCTCTCGATCCGCAATCCCAACCCAGTTCAACTGGTTCGTTCTTCCCATGTCTCGTTTCTTCCATCGTTTTCTTCTACCATTATTTTTCTGTGCTTTAGGGTTAGGATTTGGCGTTGATTTTGGTCAAGCTTTCAAAGTTCCCTTTAGGGTCAAAGATGTTCTCCCGGTGCTTCCGCGCCAGATATCTTGGCCGGTGTTGAACAATCTTCACAGCGCCGTTGACTTGTTACCGGCTTTTGTTGGATCAGTTAGCGCAAACAATGGGTCGGTTGAGTGGAAAGGAGCTTGCTTTGACGGCAACGAGGCTCGTCTCAAGCTCACCGAAAGAGATCACAACGATTCGGGAGTGGGCGGTGGAGTTCTTTACCTCACGGTTGGTCTCTTTGGTCTATTGATTACTATGACTGTGGTTATAATTGAAGCTTTTACTGTAATTTCTGTTGTTGACAAGTTAATTTACTTATTTTCATGTGATTAATTGTCTGTTCATTGATGGCGTTTGAGTCAAATTACATTTTCTTTTTCAGTTGCTTTAGAGTGTTAAACAAATGACTCGCTTTTTTCTTCCTAGTTTTGCAATGCTAAATATGGGTTACGGAATTTATTTAAGGTTATTCATTTGTGGTTAATGGACTATGGTTACTGGTTTTTTAATTAGTTTTAGCAGCTTTAAGTAGTTTAAAAACTTGAAATCCTTTTATTTTCCTTAGTAGACTTCAAATATTGAAAAAGTGGTTGGCATCTCTTGGCTCGAGTCTTGAAGATAATGGTGATTGTTTTGACATACTATGGTAAAATTTGGAGTGTTGATTTTCGTTTTGAACTATAAAAATTTTCTTTTACAGACATCTGAAGCGCACAGCTGGACCTGTATGGATCTTTATGTTTTTGCAACACCTTACAGGATTACTTGGGATTACTACTTTTCTGCTCGAGAGCACACATTGAAATTTGATTCTTGGGAAGAAACTGCAGAGTTGGAATATGTATGTTTTGATTAATTTTGTCTCTCTAAATTTCTTTGCTAACATGTATAATGCATGGGAATGACATTCTGATTCATTATTGAGCAGGTAAAGCAGCATGGAATCTCTGTATTTCTAATGCCATCTGGAATGCTTGGCACATTGCTCTCTTTAGTTGATGTATTGCCTCTGTTTTCTAATACCATCTGGGGTCAGAATGCCAACCTTGCTTTTTTGAAAACACACATGGGTGCTTCATTTGAAAAACGTCCTAAGTCATGGCGTGCAATGATAAATCCTGAAGATGTGCATTCTGGTGACTTTTTGGCAGTGTCAAAGATCCGTGGTCGGTGGGGGGGATTTGAGACATTAGAAAAATGGGTGACTGGAGCTTTCGCTGGTCATACTGCGGTTTGCTTGAAGGATGACATTGGTAATCTATGGGTTGCTGAATCAGGACATGAAAATGAAAAGGTATGCTATAAATAGCACCTGGATTGCAGAATATATATATATATATATATATTATTTGTTGTGCTTTGCTTCCTTTTCTCTTCATTAATCTTACAATGTCTAGTAAGAGGAAAATATTATGCATATACTACTCAACTAAGACAAATAATAATAAAAGAACTCGAATTTATAGTTGTAAAGTGCTGTCTAGGATTCAATAGCTTTTGGTTTTGGGACCTTATCTAGTTGATGTATGATGTATCACCCTTTAACCATTATCAGCGATTGATCACAACTTATCAAGTTGACTTCAATTTTTTTGCTATGCTCCCTCCTCTCCCTCTTTCTTTGGTCGGGTTGAGGGTATGTAGGAGAGGAGTGTTTCCAATTAGAGTGAGTGAGGTATTGGAAATTTAGTATGATTTGTAGTTATTTATGTCAGGGAAAGATAATTTCTGAAGATCTGAGAATCTCAAATTAAAAGTTGGGATTTTTAATAGAGATTATGGTTCTAAAAACTTGATTGCTGCTTTTTGATAGAGCCTGCAAGTGCACAGATCAAGTAATAAAGTGGAGTATTCCAAGTATGGTCTCCATAGGGATTGTAGAATGTAGTGTTAGGTAGTTTACAAGTAGCAAAGGTGAAAGGTTGAGAACCTATGTCTAAACAAATGAACTTGTAGGGTTTTAGGGTTATAGGGTTTAAATAATAAAGATTAATGTATGGCAAGGTTCTAAACTTCACCAACTGTCACTTGAGAAGCAAAGATTAATGCCAATCAACTAATCCTAACGCCAAAACTTAAAATATTATAAAGTAAAGATTTAAAAGATTGTAGACAAGATGCTGAATTGTTTTGAAAGTAAATAAAAGTTGCATGAAAGAAATTAAAGATCAGATCAAGAAGGAACATGTAGCCGAATCTTGCAAGAAAATAAAGAAAACTTGGATCAATCTTGGAAAAGAATGCTTTGTCGAATGGTAAAGAAAACAAGAACAAGATTTTGCAAAAAAGAAAACAAGAAAAGAAATCTTTGAATGAAAATACTTCTTGATTGAAAAAGAATTAAAAAACAAGAATTTGGTAATTGGCAAATCTGTCACCTAACTAAAGAAAAAAAAAAACTAAAGAAACTAAGAGCAAGAAGAGAAGTGAGGGAAGGGATGTGTTTCAAAGGAGGAGGCCTAGCCTCTTTGTAGAGGTAGATTAATTTTCGCGGGCGAATATTTACTCTTTCAATATCTATTTCAGTTGTCGGGTTAACTCATGACCTCTCAGAATCAGAACAGAATAAAAAGAAATGAAGTGGTCTCTGGTTTGTTCCGCCATCCTACCCGATAAATCATTAGGATTCGTTTTCAATAGAATCCTCCGCATTCACGGGTTCCGTCGTCCCCATCGCTTCTCGATTAGTGCTTAGGTCTGAATTCTCCAATGGAGCCTTAATTTAATATTTAATAAAAATAAAAATTTAATATTTAATAAATAATATTTAATAAAAAAATTTGTTAATTTGTTCTTTAGTCAACCTTCTCAGTCTTTATTGACTTAAGGCTCTTGCTTTTTTCTTCAATGAACAGATATTCATCTAATTATTGATGAATCTCTATTGATGCTCTATTACAAAGTCCTTTTCCTATTTAAACTCTACGAGATAATTATATCTTGATCTTTAAAGGAGTTGGCTGAACATAGGAGTCTTTGCGTGGCTGAATGGGATTCCATGATTGGTCCTTCATATTGATGTGTCTTGCAATGTCATCATTACCTTGAATTCAAATGGAGTTTTGGCTTCAGTGAATATCCAAGAGCTTATCTTCTTAAAGTAGTTATATTAGGTTAAAACTCTTGAGATAAATCATCAAGAATCTTTCTTGAGTAGAACTCTTATCTTTGTCTCTTGTAAAAGTATTTATCTTGCCTAAAAACTCTTTTAAGATAATCAAAGAGTTCTTGCTCCATAAGATTGCTTCTTGGCCAAATAGATGTAGTAATCCTTGTTGTATCATAACTCTATCCTTATCCTCCTTTGTAGTGTTCTTCTTGGAGTAAAACTTTTTTAAGATAAACAAAGAGTCTTCTTGCTGCTACTACTCTTCTTTAGCCCAATTCATCATGATCTTTTCTTGGCTAAGTGGTCTGGCTATAAACTCCAATATGTGGCCGAATATTGCATGGTTCATGCTCTTGGCCGAATATTGCACCATCTTACATGAATTGCATGGCTTTCATGTCCCATGTGCATTATACCTAAAGATTAAGAAAATAAACATTAAAGGCACCATATTCAATCAAATTTCAGAATTTTTGCACAAAAAAGGACTTGTAGATCACTATATATTTTAGTGCTATCTCACCCCTACACTTAAATCTTTGTTTGTCCTCAAGAAAAATCCTCAAATCAACAAAAATAAAAACCATTATACTCACAAAGTTAAAATTGACATAAAATTCCTATCATGTACTATTGCATAGTACAAAGCTAAGCATAAACATAGAGTAAGAAGAAATTCCTTAAAAAACAAGCTCCCAATTTCTTATGCTCTTTACACATATGAATCTACTCAAATTTTAATTCATGCATATAACTTAAGTAAAAAGAATGCAAAATATTTCATCACATTTCAACTTAAAAGACAGAATAGGCTTCATATGTTCACTTTTCCCTCCCCTCTCCAAATGTTAGACTTACATACCTGATTCAAGATCAAAAAGTCTTTTAGGCTTGTAATGTAAAGCTTGGGTTAAGGTAGGAGAAAGGAAATTTTAGGCTCATAAACCCTAAGCTTACTTTCTTTGAACTTCTTGGACTTTGAACAAGTGGGAGCTCTTTTTGATACTTTGACTTGTGAGGCATCATTTTATTCTTTTGTTTTATTCATGGCATTTTTTTCTCTTTTTCTTCCTGTTTTCTTTCTCTTTTTTTTTTTTGAAAATAATACTTAGCCATATTTTGCTTTTATTAGGCTTTGCCTTTGCTTTTGCCGTTTTCTTTTTTTTCTTTGATTTCATTCCTTGCACCTCTCTTCCTCTCAAATTCAAGAAAATGTTCATAATACACAAGTAAGCACAATGGGTTAAGACAACAAAAGAAAGGATAATAATCAAAGAAAAGGCTTATTGGGCTTGTAATGTGGCTAAAATAAACAAAGAAAAAGATTAGTATAAAGGCTCAAAATAAAGGTACTAGGGATGCATCATCATAGGGTAGGCTTGACAAAGGTTCAAATGGTCCAAAGAACTGCCTAAATCATTTCTTGAGTCAAATACAATCTAGGATTTCGCCTCAAAGGTTGAGTAGGTGAATTCTAGAGCACTTATTCAAATTTTAAATTTGATGAAGATCCATATCTTAAAAACCTTCACAAAAATTATAGCATTTCATATAAAGAGAATAGAGATGCACGCATAAAGATCATATCCGAAGTAAAGATATGCTTAAGAATTATTTCAAGTTTCACTATGTCCAAACTAAAACTCCATATCATACTTTAGTCATTTTTTGAGAATATATGTAACTTCAACTAAGTGAACAGCATAATCATTTTTAGCAAGTCAATTTGGTTTGAAAGCAAAGATGGGTTAAGATTTCAAAAATCATTTTAAGTCAAAAAGTTTTCTTCCCCGTCTCCCCCGGGCGAATGGAATCATGTATAAAAAACAAAATAAGGAAAAAAGAAATACTCCCTAAATTTTTTTTAAGGCCGAGTCTTAGTTGCATGAGGCATCCTCCTTGCTTCTTTTTATCCTTAAAAACAAAACAACTTAAACAAAAAACATTAAAAACATACCTGTCATAGGAAAAAAAAAAAAAGAAAACAATGAGCATATCAGTTAAAGTAAAACTTGGATTGCCTACTAAGCAGCACCAGTTTTGGTCTAGCTTGACCATACCTTTGTCCATTGGGTTACATAACTACCCCACTCTTAACACCAGAATCTATCCACTTAATAGTTTTATTTCTTACCATATCTTTATCAATAGACTCTAACTGGCAGTAGGGCTCACTCATTGTGGCGAAATTTTCCAGCTCTAGCAATGTCGTTAGTATAGCTGGATTATGATAGGTGGGCATTGGCTTCAGTATCAGCAAAAGAGGTATAACCATGGAAACTTTAGGGTTGGTTTCTAAGGTTAAAGGTTCCTTTATGGGAGGTTTCATCAGAATGACTGGTGCATACCCATCCTTTTCCTTCAACTTAATGGGGGGTGTTTCTAAAGGTTTGAGCAATATATCAACCAAACTGTGGAAACTGAATGTATATTGAAAAACTGCTTATCTCCAATTATACAAGAATCTTAGGTTTATATACAACTAACTAGGGGTTAAACTAGGAAACTAAATCTTCCTTAATTCTAGGGATACAAATACTTAATTCTAGAGATACAAATATAAATATACAGATTACAAGATTACAACCAGCTGTAAATAAGTGTTTTCCCACACAAACAACCCTCATCAACTGGCTTATCCGTCTTATTCAATTTCAAATTATAATTTTCATAGGTTTGGGAAATTAGCAAAAGCGGATTGTAAGTCATGGGCTCAACTTCGATGGGACTAATACTATGCCCTTCTAGAGGTTCAAATCCTAAAATTGATTCCTCGTCCTCAAAATCTACCATCATAATAAATGTTGGCATATTAATCAAAATAGGCTCCTAATCATCTTGATTTTCTTTGGATATCTCATACTCTTCTTGTGGTTCATCCTCAACTGGTTGTGTAGTTTCTAGGAGTGGTTTTGCAACTAACATCAACATCTTTCCTTCTTCAACCGAATCTTCTATGAACTCTTTAGGGTCTTCTTCTTGAATGTACTCATCATGATCTTCCTCAAGTATTTTCACAAAGCTAGGTAGGTTCACCACCATGGGCTCATCCATCATGTCGTCATCATCATCGTTAGCAACATACACCTCTTTTCCTTTCTTCTGATCATCTTTTAAAATACTCTCCACTTCACCCATCCAACTTGGATCTACATGTTTTTTTAGGCTTTCAAATTGGCAATTTGGGTTTCGAGGAGATTGGCTTGATTTCGAATGAATTCATCAAGGGAAGGTTCTGTTTCTTAATGAGGAGATGGTGGGTCACATGAAGGAAAGTGTTGTGGTGATGGATGGTATTGAGGAGGTGGATCATATGGTGGAAGAAAGTATTGTTGAGATGGAAGGTTCATAAGGTAGGTTGGGGTATATATGGATGATGGCTCTTGACTGCTTCCCCATTGGTAATTCGGATGATCCTCAAAATCGAGTGTCGGTGTTTGGGTAAAAGCAGGATTGATTATCTTGACACCTATCACTATATTATTCCCCATTATAGATACGACAATTGTCAAAAGGGCTCTGAATTGAATTGACATGGTTAAGATTAAGCCTTCTTTCAACAACATTTACCTTTTCAGCTAATGATGCAAGTGATGAGGATATGGCTGTAAGTGGATCTTGGTCATACCATTCGAAAGTGCTCCACAGTCAAGAAGTTTGGAACAGTGGTTGGATATGGGAATACTCAAAAGTCGCTTGTCATAATCCCCAAAGGTTCTGCCTCACTGCCATAAAAATCTGACATAATAGGGAAAAAAAAAAAGAACACGTTAGAGCAAATAAAAGTAAAAGGTGTTTAGATTACAAGAGTTTAAGAAATCCTTATTTATATTGAGAACACCGTTATAATCCCCGGCAACGGCACCACAAACTTGATTGCTACTTTTTGTATAGAGCCTATAAGTGCACAAATCAAGTAATAAAGTGGAGTATTCCAAGCATCGTCTGCATAGGGGGATTATAGAATGTAGTGTTAGGTAGTTCACAAGTACCAAAGACAAAAGGTTGAGATTCTATATCTAAACAAATGAAATTGTAGGGATTTAGGATTACAAGATTTAAATAGATATGGATAAAGTAAAGATTAAAAGTAATGTATGGCAGGGTTCTAAACTTCATCAAAACTTAAAAGATTATAAAGTAAAGATTTAAAAGATTGTAGACAAGATGCCGAATTGTTTTGAAAGTAAATAAAAGTTGCATGAAAGAAATTAAAGATCAAGAAGGAACATGTAGTTGAATCTTGCAAGAAAATAAAGAAAACTTGGATCAATCTTGGAAAAGAATGCTTTGCTGAATAGTAAAGAAAACAAGAACAAGATTTTGCAAACAAGAAAACAAGAAAAGAAATTTTTGAATGAAAATACTTCTTGATTGAAAAAGAATTAAAGAACAAGAATTTGGTAATTGGCAAATCTGTCACCTTAACTAATGAAATAAAAAACTAATGAAACTAAGAGAAAGAAGAGAAGTGAGGAGAGGAATGTTGAGGAGGCCGAGCCTTTTATAGAGGTAGATTAGGCCAAGAAAGGGATTGGGATTACAAAGTCCTTTTCTTATTTAAACTCTAAGAGATAAGTTTGTCTTGATCTTTAAAGGAGTTGGCTGAACATGGGAGTCTTTGTGTGGCCAAATGGGATTCCAGGATTGGTCCTTCATATTGATGTGTTTTGCCATGTCATCATTATCTTGAATTCAATGGAGTTTTGGCTTGAGTGAATATCCAAGAGCTTATCTTCTTAAAGTAGTTGTATTAGGTTAAAACTCTTGAGATAAATCTTCAAGAGTCCTTGAGTAGACTCTCATCTTTATCTCTTAAAAGTATTTATCTTGCCAAAAAACTCTTTCAAGATAATCAAAGAGTCCTGGCTCCATAAGATTTCTTCTTGGCCGAATAGATGTAGGAATCCTTGTATCATAACTCTATCCTTATCCTTCTTTGTAGTGTTCTTCTTGGGGTAAACTCTTTTAAGATACACAAAGAGTCCTCTTACTGCTACAACTTCTTTAGCCTAATTCATCATGATCTTTTCTTGGCTAAGTGGTCTGGCTATAAACTCCAATATATGGCTGATATTGCATGGTTCTTGCTCTTGGCAGAATATTGCACCATCTTACATGAATTGTATGGTTTTCACGTCCCATGTGCATTGTACCTAAAGATCAAGAAAATAATCATTAAAGGCACCATATTCAATCAAATTTCAGAATTCTTGCACAAAAAAGGACTTGTAAACACTATATATTTAGTGCTATCAAGGGGGGTTTCTTCCTTATGCCATTTGCTTGCATAAATTTTGCAGGGTGAAGAAATTATAGTGGTTATTCCATGGGATGAATGGTGGAAGTTGTCACTGAAGGATAGTTCTAATCCACAGATAGCCTTGCTTCCTTTACATCCAGATATACGTGCAAACTTCAATGCCACTGCAGCATGGGAGTATGCTCGGAGCATGTCAGGCAAGCCATATGGTTATCACAACATGATATTTAGTTGGATAGACACTGTAGCTGACAACTATCCACCACCTCTTGATGCTCACTTGGTAGGTATCTTCTCTGATCATTCTTTGCATCCCGAGTATGCTCTGCTGAAATTGTGTTCATGATGGAGCAGATAGTTTTACTGGCAAAAACATTGGATACTGAGCTTGCTAAAAGCTTATTTCCCTAGTCCTAACTAGACAATTTTGACTGCAGGTCATTTCTGTCATGTCTATGTGGACTAGAGTGCAGCCAGCATATGCCGCAAATATGTGGAATGAAGCACTAAATAAGCGGTTAGGGACTGAGGTATTGTGCTTTCCTTTGTTACTTTTATGAATCTATAATTGTTACTTTACGAGAAATAGTTAATTCCAACCAGTCTCTGCCCCCTCTCTGTCTCTTTCTGTTATGGTGGAGTTGTTTGGATTACCGACACTTTGTTTGATCTGATGAATTTATTGCTTCGAACTCATGTATTTTTGTAGAATTTGGATCTGTACGAAATTTTAGAGGAGACTGAAAAGCGTGGCATGGCTTTTGATCAATTACTCACCGTCCCAGAACAAGATGAATGGGTATACAGTGATGGAAAGTCAACAACATGTGTTGCCTTTATCCTTGAGATGTATAAAGAGGCTGGGGTCTTTGGTCCTATTTCTAACTCAATTCAAGTAACTGAATTCACTGTAAGCATCAATACTTTGGTGTTCCTTAAATTTCATTATTGTTTTGACTTGATCTTATAGTTATGAAATGAGTTTTATTTACAGATTCGGGATGCCTACATGCTTAAGATTTTTGAGAACAACAAAACACGACTGCCAAGTTGGTGCAACAACGAGGATGGTAGGCTTCCATTCTGTCAGATTCTTGGTGAGTACTGGATGGACTTGCCACAATATAACACCTTAGAGCCATATGCTAACATGAATGAAAATTGCCCATCTTTACCTCCAATTTATGAGAGGCCCATGAGTTGTTAAGTTTGATTGGGATCTGTTTGTAGTCAAGGGCTCGCCATATAACGTCATTTATTTAATGCGAAGATGCCTTTCTGGAAAAGTCCTACAACTGTACAAGCACTATTTATGCTTCTTGATTCCTGGTAGATATACTCAATTTATGTAAATAGTATAATCTATTTTAATAAAGTGAACAACACTTATGTACTAGTTGAATCAGTTATTCATTCGTGATTACAAACATCTGATGCTCGATTGGTGCTTTCGGAATTATTGCAAGCGAGGTGGAAATCAAGCTTTTTATTTATGATGAATTACATTTCACCATCCCAGATCTCCTCGACTGTCCTGCACGGTTCATATTTGGAGGTGTAATTCACGCGGGGACACCCTGCTAGGGGGGATTTCATCCTCATTCAGTGACCAATCGAATATATCAAGGTTTTGCTTCATTCTCTCACCACTGAAACTCTTCACTATTATACCGACCCCTGGTTCGTATGCCCATCTCAGGGACGTCTGTTTTTGGAGTGATTAACCAAACTTTCAATGTGTCTCGATTTGTTTAAGTTTCCAAAAGTCAAACCCAGACGGGAAAAAAGCAACGGAAAAAAAGAAAAAAGAACAACGTTTGTGGGGGGAAAAAGCACCTGAGCAACAGTTATCCCTTTTGCCTCGGCAATTTCTTTCAGAGCCCCACGCTCAAGTACTCTATTGCTGCCCCAACTGGTTCCATTGGCTCCCAGCGGTGAGTAAGCTGTCAAAAGGATCCCCTTAGCTTGGCTAAACTCTCTTAGCTTTTTCTGTTGTCACAGTGGGTTCATTTCCACGTTGCAAACATTATAGCATCTTCACTATCATTACTCCAAACCAAATTGAGGGTGGGAGAGAGCGAGCGAGCGAACTGTTACCTGATTAACGGCTGGAGGGATCTTTGCTATGGCGAGGATGTCAGTCAGCTTTTTGCAGGAAAAATTGCTGACCCCCAATAGACTTTGTGATGCCAAGCCTCTGGCAATCTTCCATGGCAGCCCATACAGAATTGAAATCCATGGGGAAGAAGTTTTCCTCCTTTATTGGAAATTCATAAATCCCGGGCTTTGAGCTGATGGGCCAGTGAATAAGAAAGAGATCAAGGTACTCCAACTTGAGATATCTGCAGGAAAATAAAAGGTTTTTGACAAGAGTAATATCATGTTACCCTTGACTGAATTGAGAAAACTTCCATATACTGAGGTTATAGAAAGTGAGCAATTTTTTTTTTTACTGTAAGCTTCTCTTGAGTGCAGGGACAACAAGTTCTCCATGAGCATCGCCGCACCATAGCTTGGTCGTGATGAAGAACTCGTCTCGAGATTGAATTAGTCCAATCGAAAGTTCTTTTAATTGCTTCTCCCAGCGGCGGCCCTGACCCATACTTGGCAGCCGTATCAAAATGTCTATAACCAGGTTTGATTGCTTGGAGAATTGCCATTTTTGTAGCTTCTGATCCTACAGGTGGGGAGGCTACCGTTCCCAAGCCCAAAAGTGGCATTCTCTTGCCACAGTGGGCCAATACATGCTCTGGAATACTGAATGAAGTAGCCCCCATGAACAAACTGCATGCCATCTTCTTAGCGGCGTTAATCTAGTTTTTCAATTTTTCAAAACACTGCTTTTGGCTCACGTTTGACTTCAGGAGGCGGTAGTGAAGCAAAGCTTGTGGATCTTCTTTAGTTCTCTGGATGCTATAAATCTCGTTACATGCCAATTATTTGGTCAAATTGTTCAATTAGTTCATATACTTACATGAAATTTAAGCTTTAGTCTTTATATAATAATTTATAAAAATTTGATCATCGTATTAGTTTAATTTAATAATGTTGGTCCAATTCATAACGGTATTACTTAATCTCTATTTAATTAGTTGACGTGGTTGCTGACCATACTAACATTGCGTTGATTTAAATGATGTGGCGTTGATTTATTGATGTAGCAATTAGGATTGATAAAATTAATTGTTAAATTATACAAATAATTTTTATATTTATATGAAAATTAAAATTTAATTTTTTATTCACAAAAATTTAAAATTTAATCATTGTACTCGCAAAAAATCTAAAATTACCTTTTAATAAAAAAATATTTTGAAAATTTTTTAATTTTTTAAAACATTAAATTTTAAAAATTGCTACAATATTTTTTCATAATATTCTATCACAATATTAAAAAATCTATCACAATATTTACTCACAATTTTCATATATTGTCACTAAATCTGTTACAATTTTTTGTCACCCATATGAAATATTATTATTAGTTATGTCACTATTTCTTATTACATTTTATCATAAAATATAAATTTATTATTAATTTTGTCACTTTTCTATTATAATTGTAGTTTATTGTGCCCATATGAAAAAAATCTTAAATCAATCTATTAAAAATCTATTATAAACTTATCAATATATAATGTAAATCTGTCACTATATAATTTTAATAAAACTATTTTTTTATTAATTTATCTAATGACTTAAAATTATAATTACATCCTATAAGGATATAATTATCCATAAAGCGATATTTCTATTCTTTTTAAATTAAACCCTATTTAAATGATTTTTCATAATCAAATATAGGTTCAAGATTCTAAATTGAGAATATATCCTTTAAATTAAACCCTATATTCTCAATTTAGAATCTTAAACCTAGCTATATTTGATTATAAAAAATCATTTAAATAAGGTTTAATTTAAAGCAATAGAAATATTATTTTATGGATAGTTTTGTCTTTATGGGTAGAGGTGAGCAATTGATCAGTTCAATCGGTTCGATTTAAAAAAATTAATAACCAACTTAATTGACTTTTATTCAACAAATAAACCGAACCGACCTAAAATTTTTAAATAATCGACCATAACGAACCAACCAAAATTGGTTCAGTTTGGTTGGTTCGATTAAATAATTGATTTTTTTAATTATTTTTTTTCCTATTATGAGTAATTATTTAATCATAAATTCAATTCAATAAAACTTAAACTCAAGTATCATTCAAACTAAATCGCTAAAGAATTTAATAATTTCAACAATATTTTACAAGAAAAAAAAATAAAATACTCATCTTAATTTTTTATCTTTACTTATTAGAAAATTGATTAATTCAATTAGTTTAGTTATCAATTTTAAAAACCAAAAACCAACCGAGTTAATCAATTTAATTGATTTAAAAAATTGATTATAATCAAAATCGAATAAATTGAATTGAATCAACCAAATTCACTTAGTTTTGGTTGGTCTAGTTGATTTAAATCGACTTTTGCTTACCCTTACTTATGGGAAGTAATTATAATTCTAAGTCATTAGATAAATTAATACAAAATGATAGTTTTATTAAAATTAGATAGTGACAAATTTGTGATAGATTTTTAATATATTGGTTTGAGATTTTTTTTCATATTACCATATACTACAATTATGACAAAAAAATGATAAAATTAGTAACATATTTATATTTTATGACAGAATATAACAAGAAATAGTGATAGAATTACTAATAGTATTTCATATGGGTGACAAAAAATTGTGAATGATTTAGTGACGATATATGAAAATTATGACTAGATATTATGATAGATTTTTTAATATTGTGATAGAATATTATGAGATAATATTATAGCAATTTTTAAAATTTAATGTTTTAAAAAACTAGAAAATGTCTAAAAATTCAAAATAATTTTTGTATTAGATGGATTAAATTTCAAATTTTGTGTGAGTATAAAAATTAAATTTGAAATTTTGTATGAATTGAGTGATCATTTACATAATTTAACAATTGATTTCTTTAATCTCAATTGTTATGTCAGTAAGTTAATATCATATCATTAAAGTCAATGTTGCATCGCATGGTCAACGATTATGTAAGATCAAGTAATACCATTATCAAATAGACTACTATTGTTAAATTAAATTAGTATGAGGATCAAATTTTTGCAAATTGTTGTATGGGAACTAAAGTTCAATATCATCTAAGTATAGGGACTAATGCATAATTTGACCAATTATTTTCACTGTAACTTTATAATTATTCAATTCTAGTGCCACATGGTATTCTATTCTACACGACACTTACATTGAATCTGGCGTCGATTGGATTGAAGCGATGCCACAGTGTGACACGATTGGAAATATTTTTGGCTCTAACTGTGCCGTACATCCCATTTAGGTGCCAGGGATGTGATACCGTGGGAGGATTTCCACCGTGATGCATCCCCTTTTCAGTTTTCTTATTAGAGGGGGAATTATCAGTGGTCAATTGGTTCCATTTTCTTTATAGAGCAGTCGATTAATTTTTTATCAAACAGTCGATTATTTTTTAAAAAGGGACGCATATAATTAATACTAGGTTGTTGCCCTCGCTCTGCCGAGGTATTTTTAAAATATTTATAAAAATTTTATTGAATTAATTTTAAAATAAAAGTTTAAATTAAATCATAATAAGATTGGATGATTATACTCTATCATCCTTTTGGTATTAGATGATTTAATCATCTCAAAGTGAAGAAAATTATTTTTAATCAATAAGATTAAATTTACGTATCTTATTATATTTTTAAAATTCACATCAATAATTTAAATTATATAAACTTAAAAAAAAAATAATTTTGATTAATAAATAAATAATTTGACTAATAAATAAATTAGAATATGTTCGGTATACAAGATTTTGGTATAATAAAATAAGATGATGTTATAATAAGATTAAATTAAATAATATCATCTTATCTTGTATTTGATGTGTGTAAGGTTTAAGATAATATAATTTATTTATTGATCAAAATTATCCTTATTCAAAGTTTATACAATTTAAATTATTGATGTAATTTTTAAGGGTATAATAGAATATGTAAATTTAATTTTATAGATTAAAAAGAATCCTTTCTATTTTTTATACCAAAAGGATGGTTAATCCTCTTTGTAATTATATCTATTTCTTTAGATACAAACTAAATATAATATAAGATGATTATTATCTAATGCACTAAATATGACCTTAATGTTTACATCACACTCCACTTTATCTCATCGTTATATCCAAATCTATATCTCATCACTGATTTATACGTCATTGCTACAATATTCAATCTTACTATTATAGTAACTAATTACATCATCAATATTATTTTCAATTTCCTTGTCCAAGATGAATCCTCAATGGGATGGAAGGAAACAAATGCTAGAGCAAACACTGAAAAACTGAATTACTACTTCTGGTAAATCTAAAATTTTGAGGAAAGACTCTAAGGCGAATAACAATGCACTTTCTTTAAGGTTTTATACACCCCTACCGTATTATTTACTTAGTAGGTGTGTAAAAGGATTATACCTAATAAACTTGAAAATACAATAAAACCCAATGACTGACTGTGTTTTACACTAACGAAATCAGTTTATTGAGCAATCACCTGTGTATCATAAGATCATTGAACTTCTATAAAGATTTTCTGCAGCAAAACTTTTATAAAAGAAATCTAAAGTTTGAAGAAAGAAGAAAAGTACTAAGATATGTATTTTTAAAAAACCAGAGAAGCTTTTTATAAAAAGATGATTATTTTTCCTACAGACATGATTGTTTATTTTGAATAGATAAAAACTTTCTATTTTTGAATAGTTGAAACTGTTTATTTTGAATAGACTTATCTTTCTGTTTTAAACAGACTTAAGTATCTATCTTTATTTTTTTTCCAATGTGAGATTATTTTTCATATTTTATTTTGAAAATCTCTAACAATCCTTCACCATTTTCAAAATAATCCAGATTTATGATGATATTAGAAATCAATTGCATAAATGAAGGTATTTTCTAATTTAAACCTTCATTTAGTGAAAACAAGTTAAAGTTAACCAAAATTGTATGATAAACTATGCTTTGAACCAACTATTCTATTTGATAAACCAAACTTGTTTCACACAATGATTTCAACACTTAATGAATGCTTGGTATCTAGTGACACATTTATGGTCACGTGTCTGCATCCTCTTTTCATGAGTGTTGTTAGAGCCAAGCTCTTAAACTCCTAGAAGCGGCCACACTTTACACTCATATAGGTAGTTCCTATCAAAAGTGTTCCTGTAACTATAACACTCTAACATATTTATATTATGGGTCTATTAAGAGTATATTACTCATCATTTCTTTGCCATTATAGGTAATTAGCACTTTACTTGGGATGGCATTAAACATTACTATAGTGTTGATAGTCATATATAGATGATGTATTTTGTCTCATAGAACTAAAAACTTGACGTTGTACCAATCATTGAGTTGAGTTTTCGTCATGAGTGACTTTATTTCATGAGCTTGAGCCCTATCCATGTTTTTTACCAACTCTCTAGCTAGATTTTTGGTTAAAGGATCCATCAAGTTTTTACTTGACCTCACATAATTTATAATGATCACTACATCCAAAATTAATTGTTGAACATAGCTATATCTTAATCCAATATGTCTAGACTTTTCATTATATACTTGGTTATATGCTATTGCTAGAGTTGTTTCACATCACATCAGATAGAAATTAGGAAAATTGGTTTGGCCATAAAGGTATTTCAAATAATAAAGTTCTTAGCCATTCAGTTTTTTTAGTTATTATGGCTAATGTAATAAACTCAGTTGCCATGGTGAAATCTATTATGCATGTTTGTTTCTTGGAATCCCAATAAATGGCACCCCATCAAGTACAAAGATTCATCCGCTTGTAGAAGCATGATCTTCCATGTTAGTATTCCAACTAGCATTAGAATATCATTTTATAACTGAAGGATATCCAATATAACACAATTCATAATTGATTATGTTATTCAAATATCGAAGTACTCTTTTAACTATTTGCCAATGCAAGTTACTTGGATTACTCGTGTATTTATTCAACTTTCCAATAGCAAATGTTATGTTTAGCCTTGTACAAGTCATTACATACATGAGACAATCAATTACTCTTGCATATTGCAATTGATCATTTATTCTACCAGTATTAGATACTAATTTTAATTGAGAATCCATGGGTGTGATACTGCAATACAATAAAAAAGATCAAAATTTTTAAGTACTTTTTCAATAGAATACGATTGTGACAAAGTTATGCCACTATCATTTTGGATTATTCTAATTTCAAGAATAACATCCACTACACCCATATCTTTTATTGAAAAGTTATTTGATAAAATTTTTTTGTTTCTTTAACTTTTTTTGAATCAGTGTCAAATATTAGCATATCATCCATATATAAATAAATTATGACTCTTTTGTCATTGTCAAATTTGCTATATATACACTTATCTGACTCATTAATTCTAAAACCATTAGTAAGAATGTTTTCATCAAACTTTTGGTGCCATTGTTTTGGTGCTTGCTTAATTTCATACAAGGATTTTATAAGCTTACAAACTTTATGCTTTTGGCATGGAATGATAAATTCTTTTGGTTGTTTCATATATACTTCCTCCTCTAATTCACCATTTAAAAATATCATCTTTACATCCATTTGATGCATAATCAAATTATAAATCGAGGCAAGTGAAATTAGAAGCCTAATTGTAGTAATTCTAGCTACTAGAGCATAAGTATCAAAGTAGTCTATTTCTTATTTTTGTGTAAAGCCTTGGTTACCAACCTTGCTTTAAATTTATCTATGGTTTCATCCACCTCCAATTTCTTTTTGAAAATCCATTTATAGCCTATTAGATTAAAACCTGGTGGAAGGTCAACTAAAAGCCAAGTGTTATTTTCCCATTACTAACTTTATTTCATCATTTATTGCTTATTTCCAAAAAGCAAAATCTTGAGACTTCATTGCTTATTCATATGAACAGGATTAGACTCTGCATTAAAACTATAAGGAATTTTATTGTTTATGCTTTCATTAATCCTTTTCACAAAGAACATAAAGAAATCTGGTTCATAATATTTTTCTTTTTTAACCTTTTTGCTAATCATTATTTCTTGACAAGATTCATTAGTAATTTTAGTTTGTTCCAATGGACTTGAAATTTCTTTTCCACTTGTAAGATGAATTGCTTGTAGTTGTCTCGAAATAGATTTAAATCTATTTTCATAATAAAATGCATCTCTTGATTCAATAACAATGTTAACCAAAATTGAATCATTTAGTTCAATAACCATGAACCTGTATGCATTACTATTTTGTGCATATCCTATACATATGCATTCTATTCCTCTTTCATCCAACTTTTTCCTTTTGGTTTTGAAATTTTAACTATAGCTCTCTATCCCCAAACCTTTAAATAATTAAGATTTGATTTTCTTTTCTTCCATTGTTGATATGGGGTTATTTTTGCTTATTTGTTAGGAATTCTATTTAGTATATGACAAGCATTTAATAAAGCTTCATCCTAAACTCTCTGTCCAAGACCAGAATAGGATAACATTACATTTACCATTTCTGTTAAGACTCTGTTCTTTCTTTCTACTACACTATTTTGTTGTGGTGTATAAAGAGTAGTAACTTGGTGAATTATTTCGGTGGATTTAAAGTAACTTGGACTATAATATTCTTCACCCTTATCCGACCTCAAGTACTTGATAAAATATTCACTCAAGTTTCACTTCAGATTTATATATTTTAAACTTATCAAGTACTTTATTTTTGGAATATAATAGATAAACATAACAATATCTAGTACAATCTTTTATAAATATGATAAAATATTTCTTTCAGATAATGTAGAAATGTTATGCATATCACAAATATCACTATGAATTAACTTAAGTAACTTTGTATTTCTTTTAACCTTAGGAAAATGATTTCTGGGAATCCTAGTCAACATTTATGTATTACATTTTATTAATATCTTGACTAAATTCAGGAATTAAAAAAGTTTACTCATATCATGCAATTTTCTATAATTTAAATGACCTAATCTATAATGCCATAAATATGAAGGTTCAACTATGTAAGTAGAAACAACATTCTTATTTTTATTAATAATATTAAGTTTGAATATTCCTTCATGCATATACCTTTTCCTAACAAAAATTTTTTTTTAAACAAAATAAATTTATCTATCTCAAATATAAGTTTAAAACCAAACTTGTTCAACTGACTTCAGGACACTAAGTTCTTCTTAACTTCTGGTATATAATAAACATCATTCAAAGTTAAAGGTTTTCTATAAGTGAATTCAAGGTCAATAGTCCATTTGCCTTTGATTGTTGCTGTAGAAGAATTTTTCATGTAGAGAACACTGTCATATTCACTTGGTTTAAATGTTGTGAACATGCTTTTGTTCTTGTACAAATGTTTTGTTGCCCTTGAATCAACCCACCAAGATTCATCATTTTTAAACATGTTGATTTTGAAAATCATGACAATAAAATTTTCAGAAGTATCTCATTTTGAAGAATCATTGTTCTTCTATAGCAACTAACATTCTTTCTTGAAATGTCTTGGCTTACAACAATGGTAATATGAGACTTTTTTATTCTTCTTGAAGTTAGGCCTGTTAGCAATATGCTTGAACTTGAACTTCTTTTTGTCAAGCTTTATAGTTTGTCTTTCCTCCAAAACATGAACTTCGACATCACTAAAACCGAAATTCTATTCTTGCTTTTTGTATTTCCTCTTCAATTCGAAGATGATTAGTCAAAGCCTCAAGAGTGATTTCTTTTTTTTTTTTTTTATGTTTTAAACTTCTTTTAAAATCCTTTCATGATGGAGGAAGTTTATCTATTACAGAAGACACAATGATTGTGTCATTTATACTCATATTTTATTGTTTAAACTAATTAAGCATTTTTTTCAATTTCACATAGTTGTTAAATCATAGAACATCCATCAATCATATAATAATTATTGAAACGACTAACGAGAAATTTCTTACTTGTTGCATCCTTGGTCATATACTTGGTCTCCAATTTGTCCTATAACTTCTTTACAGTAGGCTCATTTTGATATGTATCAAATAGGCAATCAAACAAATTGTTCAGAATATGGCCCTTACAAATGTAGTCTGCATTATCCCATTTTTGTCTCTCTCTTGTTACAACAATAGATTCTTCTGTTTCACTTTATTCTGGTCTAAAAGTAGTCAGAACATATACAACCTTCAAGGTTGAAAATAGGAAATGCATATTCTTATACCATCTTCGAAAATTGCCACCATTAAAACGATCTAATTTGAAAATATCAGATTTCAATTCCCTGAGCGTTGCTTCAGTAGCCATTATTAGCTATTATTGAATCGAATAAAACTTTAAGACTGTTAGAGCAAACAATGAAAAACTAAAATTGTTGCTTCTAGTAAATCTAAAATTTTGAGAAAAGGCTTCAAAGTATGTAACGGTGCCATTTTTCTTAAGGTTTTATTTGGCCCCACTGTATTATTTACTTAGTAGGTGTGCAAAAAGATTGCAGGCAATAAACCTTGAGAATATAATGAAGCTTAATGATTGACTACGTTTTACGCTAACGAAATCAATGCACCGAGCAATCGTCGGTGTATCACAAGATCACTGAACTTTTATAAATATTTTTTTAGCAAAACTTTTATAGAAGAAATATATAGTTTGAAGAAAGAAAGAGAATTCCAAATTGTTTTCTATGTATTTTTAGAAAATCAGAGGAACTTTTTATAAATAGATAAATATCTTTTTTGACAGACTTGATTGTCTATTTTGAATAGACAAAAACTATCTATTTTTGAATAGTTAATAATACTATTCATTTTAAACAAACTTATCTCTCTATTTTAAACAGACTTAACTATCTGTCTTTTTTTTTTTCAATATAAAATTATTTTTCATATTTTATTTTGAAAATCTCTAATAACAAATTCTTTAAATACTATCATCTTTATGGAGAAATTTAATAATTATTGAATTCAAAATGACTCGACAGATTCGTTATTTGTTTAAAGTATTTGTTTAATACGTTCCGGATGCCAAATTAATGCCACGATTTATGTTAATGCATTATCACGTTTGTTTGGCAACTCCACTTCGTGATAAAGATATGGGATTATACTCTGTTTTTATGGGTACATACTGAACATACGTATAGCAACTCTATTGTAATGTGAGATGGTGCTGCTACAACGTAATTGAAATTTAGAAAGAATTATAGTAGTAGATTAAATGGAAGAGTACTAAGCAATCATTCACTAAAGGCGGTGGAAGGGAAAAAAGTACAACAAAGTCATCAGAATTATTAGAGAGTGACATATAAGCAATTTTTCTTTGTCAAATTTAGAAAAACAATTCTGCGCGAATGGAAATAATATCCCAAATCAAATTTCCCCATCCCATAATTCCTCAAGTGTCTTGAAAGGACCGTTTTTGGACAAGAACTCTTCTCCCCGGCAGCCTCTGCTTTGTGGGATGTCATTGATCTTTTTCAGCTCATCCTCACTCAATGACCAATTGAATATGTCAAGGTTTTGCTTCATTCTCTCACCGTTGAAGCTCTTCACTATTATACTCACCCCTTGTTCATATGCCCATCTTAGACATACCTGATTTTGGATTAGTATTTAGTAATCAACTTTTCATCATGTGTCTTGATTCATTTAAAATTTCAAAACAAGGGCAACAATGAAACAACAACACTTATGTAACTCTTTCATTGAGGAAAAACGCACCTGAGCCACGGTCTTCCCTTTTGCCTCAGCAATTTCTTTCAGCACCTCACACTCCAGAACTCTATTGCTGCCCCAACTGGTTCCTATGGCTCCCAATGGAGAGTAAGCTGACAAAAGGATCCCATTTGCATGGCAAAACTCTCTTAGCTTATTTTGTTGCCAAAGCGGGTTCACTTCCACCTTGAAAATATTGAAACAGCTTTCACTTACAGTATCACTAATTCAAAGCTCAAACCAGTTTGAAGGCCAGGTGTGTGCCAGATAGAAAGGGAGAGTTACCTGATTAACAGCCGGAGGGATCTTTGCAATTGCCAAAATATTGGCCACCTTTTTGCATGAAAAATTGCTGACACCTATCGATTTTGTGAGGCCAAGCCTCTGGCAATCTTCCATGGCGGCCCATACGGAACTGAAATCCATGGGGAAGATAAAGTATTCCTCATCTCCTGAGACTCCTTGAATCCCCTTTTTTACGCTTAAAGGCCAATGAATGAGATAGAGATCGAGGTACTCCATCTTGAGATTTCTGCAGTGCAAATGACAAAAAGGAAAAACCAATAGTATATCGATATATCACAAGGAATATAAATAGGAAACAAATATTTTACTCTAAGCTTCTCCGAAGAGCAGGAAGAACGAGTTCTCCATGAGCATCGATGCACCACAACTTGGAAGTGATGAAGAGCTCGTCTCGAGTTTTGATTAAGCCAAGCGAAATTGCTTCCGTGATTGCTTCACCCAGCGGCTGCTCTGTCCCGTACAAAGAAGCTGTATCAAAGTGCCTATAACCAAGTTTAATTGCTTGGAGAACTGCAAGTTTGGTAACTAATTCTGATCCTTCAACTGGGTCGGATGCCGTGCCAAATCCCGTAATCGGCATTTTCTGTCCACTCCACCTCAAAACATGTTCTGGAATACTAAAACTTGTTGCCTCCAAACCGCTTTCCATTTTTTTTTCTCAAGAACTTAAAAAAAATTATTTTCCTTCAATCCTTACTTTATTGAATTTTGCTGATCGGTTAATCAAGCCCGAGCTTTTCAATCCTATTTGGTTGGTATGATCTACCTCGCACGAGAAAAATGGAAAGGATTGTCAAGAAAAATAAACTTGACTATTGAATTTAAGGTGTTGCATGATTCACATTAATGGTTTACTTTTTTTTTTTTTTTTGTAATGAATTGCCCTTTGCCCTTTTGTTTAAGTCCACTTGTTGATAAAAATTTTATATTCTGTTCAGCTTTTTATAGCTTCACATTGAATTGTGCGATATATAATCTCATCGGATAAAGAATTGAGGTTCATTCTATCATATCATAAAATGATGATCATGAGTGAGCTAGAAGCTAAACTTGGTGGAATGGACACATGTGGATTCCTTATTTGTGAGGATGAGTTGGACTTTTAGGGAGTATCAAGTTCTTAGGAATAATTTTATTAGTATTGGACTGTAGTGATGGAATAAAACTAAAAGGGGATTCGGCTCCTCTCAATTCCACTAAATGGACCGGAGGGTGTTGAAGAGAATGACCGTGCCTAGTCCAACTTAGTCAATAATATTTTATATTTTTGTATTAGAATTATAGTGTTACGATTTTTTGAGATTGTGTGATAATCCTAGTCTTAAACAATTTGTTGGCAGAAAAATATATTCATAGTGATTAGAGTTTGATGAAGTTATTAAGAATAATAACTTAAATCTTATAAAAAATTTGTTTGAGATTGATTAGATGTTTGATAAATAAAAAATTTTAAAAAAAATTAAAAAAAATTCTGGATAGATAAGTTTATATACTTATAAATAGATTAAAGTCTCTACAGAATTAAATATGAAAAAAATATGTAAGAGAGTTTTAAGATTTATTGAATAAACACCCCATAGAACTAGAAAAGACTAAGATAGTTCTTATAGGTATATGTGTTTGAATGAGTAAGAAAACATAAAGATTTACATAGATATGGTGTATAGATGCATATAAGTATGTAATTGTTTAGGTTGAAATACTTTATAGAACCAAAGAGAAAGACGGTCTATAGATATTTATTATGAGTGAGATTGATTTATTGATGAATTTATAATTATCTATAACTAATAAATTTTTTCCTCATCCGTGGACATTAATAGATTATGTTAAATTATATTAAATTGTTATCTTTTATACGTTTGATTTATTGTTTAATTATGTTTCCCTTGGCTTGAATGTTTAATTGATTATGGGTTTTTTTGTTAACAATTAATATTAGAGCTGTCGTGATTCTAACAATTAATATTAAAACAAAAGTTTGAGACATAAAAAGAAACAAACTTAGAGGAGCTTGATTCATTGAAAGAGTACGAGTTTGTCTTTTCAGAGATTGCTAAGCGTGGAACATGAAGACACAAAGGAAAATGATTGTGAGACTTCCGTTGCATGTGGAATCAAACCTGTCTAGCATAAAAATTGATGATTGATAGAATTTGAATTAAGGGGAGATTGTTAAGAATAGTAGCTCAAATTTTATAAAAGATTTGTTTGAGATTTATTATATATTACTTGATAGATAAAAAAACTTGTAAAAAAATAATTCTAAGAGAAAATAGATTCTTAATAGACAAGTTAATGTGCTTATGAATAGGTAAGTTTACATAAAATTAAGTATGTGAAAAAGATGTAAAAGAGTTATAAAGTTTTATTGGGAAGACACCCTATAAGACTAAAAGAGATTGAAAATATCTTTATTGGTGCGTACGTTTCAATGAATTAGAGGACAATAAGAGGATCTACATAAATATGATGTATGATTGCACATAGGCATATGTGTATTTTGGTTAAAATTATTTATAAGACTAAAAAGAATGTAAAAGTTTATGATATTGATTGTGAGTGTTTGATTTATTAATGTGTTTATAATTTTTTATAAGTAGTGAATCTTTTTTTTATCTGTAAAAATAAATTGATTAAGTTGAATCACATTAAATTGATCATTTGATGATTTGATTGTTTATCTGAATTGAGACTTTTTAACGTAACAAATGATATCACAGCTATGTTTCAAGCTTGCATATAGGATTACTAACAAAGACCAACATAAATGCTTTTTTTCTAGTAAAATATATCCACTTGATTACTTGAATGAACAACTAAGATTTGGAGCTTAAAAAAAAAAAAAAAACCTCTTTCCCTCTCTCTGTTGTTTCTTCACCCTTTTTTAATTTTTTTTAAATGGCTTTTACAAATTTTCTCCTCACCTCCAATTTTTTAGGAGAAAATCATCACATGTGGGTGTTAAAGATGAGGACTTACCTGCAAGCACACGATATCTAGGATGTAGAGGAGACAGGCAGGGATCCACACCTTTGAGGGCCAATCCTAGAATAACTCAGATCAAGCAACACAATGAAGAGTGTATTTAGAAGTTTAAGGCCATGCCCTATGCCAAGGTCCATACCAACCTGCTTTGACCCATTAAGCATCACAATTTTGTCTCGTAAAAATTCTTATAGAATGCAATAAACCATTTGATTTTTATGAATGTATATGCTATAAACTATTTAAATATTCATGTGGTTGAGCATTAGAAAACCATGGATGCTGTTAGCAATGTGATTATTGGATAGTACAAAGAATCTCCTAGTGGATTATTCACCATCAGTTAAAAATATTTATGATTAAATTAATCAAATTTCTCCATTCCAAAGATCCTCAGTAGTCTTGAAAGGCCCATATTTGGAGATATAATCTTCTCCGCTGCAAATTCTGCTTTGTGGGATCTCATTGATCTTTTTTTTCACCTCGTCTTGTCTCAATGACCAGTTAAATATCTCCAAGTTGCTTTTCATCCTGTCCTCGTTGAAACTCTTTACCAATACACTGATCCCTTGCTCATAGGCCCATCTCAGACAAATCTGTTTTTGGGTAACGTGGTAAGCAGCATTCTTTATTGCGTGTTGATTTATCTTAAGTTTTTTTTTTTGGGTCGGGAAGAAAATGTGAGAAAAGTACCTGAGCAACGGCCATCCCTTTTTCCTTGGCGATTTCATTGAGCAATTCACACTCCAGAACTCTGTTGCTGCCCCAAATGGTACCTTGGGCTCCCAGTGGAGCGTAGGCTGTCAAGAGGATACCATTTGCCTTGCAAAACTCTCGAAGCTTCTTTTGTTGCCACAGTGGGTTCAATTCCACCTTGTAAAAATTCGAACAACTTCCTTAATTGCTGTCCAGAGTTCAAACCAGATTGAAGTGATTTGAGAGAGGGAGAGTTACCTGATTAACAGCAGGAGGGATCTTAGCAATGGCCAGGATGTCAGCCAACTTTTTGCAGGAAAAATTGCTAACACCAATAGACTTGGTGAGGCCAAGCCTTTGACAATGTTCCATGGCTTTCCATACCGCATTGAAATCCATTGGGAGGAAATCTTCCTGCTTTATGGGGAATTCATAAATCCCTGGTTTTGAGCTTACTGGCCAATGAATGAGATAGGGATCAAGGTACTCCAGCCTCAGATTTCTGCAGGACAAACAGTTTAGACCAAAGAATTTGCATGTTCACGTAGATTGCTGAAAATCTTGTGTAAAAAAAAAAAAAAAAAGGGAAACTAATTAGAAGAGGAAATATAAGTTGGCAGTATTTTACTGTAAGCTCCTGTGAAGGGCAGGAAGAACAAGTTCCCCATGGGCATCACTGCACCACAGCTTGGAAGTGATGAAGAGCTCATCTCTAGATTTAATTAACCCAAGCGAAATTGCTTCTATGATTGCTTCACCTAGTGGCTGCTCAGTCCTGTACAAAGTTGCTGTATCAAAGTGCCTATAGCCAAGTTCAATCGCTTGGAGAATCGCCGTTTCCGTAACTTCTGGTCCTACAGGTGGAGAAGCTGCAGTGCCAAAGCCCAAAAGAGGCATTCGGTGGCCACTGGAGGCCAAAATGCATTCTGGAATACTGAAAGAGGTTGCCTCCAAAATGCTATCCATCTGCTTTACAGTGTTAGTCTAGGTTCTTCGAGAACTCAAAATTGTTGCACCTGGTTTGGCAAAGTAGGTAGTAGTATGTTGAAAGTGGGGATCTTCTTTGGATCTTTTGAGGGTAGAGTACAGGAGGAACACGACAAGGGTGGACATGGCACGTGAGCTAAATTATTGCAATAAGCGCTTCCGCCGGCCTTTTTTTTTTTTTTAGATAAATGTTAGGCAAAATTTGTTACGACGTTTGGGAAATTTGTTAAAAGAAAATTTAATAAAAATTTAATAAAAAATTTAAATTAATTGATTAATAAAATTTAACGTAAAAATTAAAAATATGTAAAAGACTTATTTAAAATAAATTATTTATAATTTAAATTTGATAAATATTTATTTAATAATAAAAATTATGTCAAAATTTTTATTAAGAATACTTATTTAAAAAATATATCAAAATATATTATTTTTTAAAGTTTTATAGTTTTATTTATGTAACAAAATTTTTTAATTTATGATTTTTATTTTTTACTTTAATTTTTATTAAATAATTTTTAATAAAAACTTTCACTTGGTCTTTGATTAGCTAAACTTAGGGACAAAAAGTTGCTGTCCGTTCTACTTACTTCTGTGGCTTGGACTCAGAGCAGACGGCCAAATATACGCCTTTGTTTCTTGCAGTTTTGTGTGGACACAGTGTAGAGCTTTTGAGGTTCATTTGCTTGACATTACTTCCCCTACAGCAGAGGGACCATCGGCATCCAGTCTTCGCCTTCCGCAGCCCAGACCTAACCATTTCATATTACTTCTTTTTATCAGTAACGTTTTTTAAGCTGATTTGCGTCAAATACCACATATGTATCATTAACTCCATACCTTTAACATGGAAGTTACTTGAAAATTGATCTATATGATCTCTTCCATGCCGCTCGTTTTCATTTTCTTTTTGTTTTCTTTTGGATAAAGTAAATGTGATATATACAAGTTTAAATAGCTCCTAATCATGTTACAGGGGAATTCAGGAGCCACATATAACCCTGCAATTCTTGAAGGGGAATTTTAAAGAGGCAAAAGCCGACATTAAAAGTTGGCATTTGAATGAAAATTTTAAAATTTTAAAAAATTTTGAAATGAAAGTATTTTAAATTTAAAAATATTAGCATTTGTAATTATTTTGTTTGAATAAATATTTCTTAAAAAATTTAGTCTATTGAATTTAATGAGATAAAAAATAATTATAAAAAATGATATTAAAGATAAATATGTGTATGTAATAAAATATACAATAGGGTATCATTAGATTTGTAAAAATAGATAAATATTAATAATATAAAAAATAAAAAATATATATTACAATTAAATAAAATGATATTTATTTTTTGAGTTTTAATTTTATAATGAATCATGTACAGTAAAAAAAGGACGTGGGAGAATTTTGAAAAATCACCTATTTAGGTAAAATTTCAAAAAAGATTTTTAAGGTCCTCAAATTCCCTTTTTAAGTTTTACCTTAAGTTTTAAATTCTCTTATTTTTATTCAAACAAATAAATTCATTTTTAAATTTTTAAAAAGCTTAATTGAAATAAAATTCTTCCTTCAAATATCTGGCCAAACACTACTTAAAAGAATGGAATAGAGTATGGACAAAACATTCATAAGCTTGGAAATTCAACTTTCGAAATTGGTCATTTTAAAAAGAAAAAAAAAAATCTCTATTACAACAATGACAATTTTCATACGAGCTCTAGAAAGCCCGGAAAGATTTGCTTCTCATTCTTCCATACAGAAACGGTTGAATTGGAAGATTGTCTTGAAAACGAAATAAAACTATTCCCATGGCAATGTGAATTAGACAGCCGATGATGATCAGCTGCGAAAACCTAATTTTTAAATGATTCATGGTCAGAATTTTGTATTAATTGACAAACTTGATTGACAAGGTTATTTGACCAATCCCCGAATATTTTTCAGGTTACCAACATTTCTCAACTTCTATCAAATTTCTGGTTGACCAATCAGAACAATACATGACTTTGGTGTCTGGTACCAAGGTCAATATATATCTTCATTCTTCTCTTTTTTGTACTTTGGTCTGAATGTGACCTTTCATTATTCTCGACCGACCAATTAGACACATCCGTGTTCATCAAAACCTTTTCCATATTCCGATAGAAATTAAAAAAAAAAAGGGAAAATCCTCTAATAACAAATCATACACAAAAATGTAAAAGCATATTAATCAATAAAATGTAGATTTTTGTTGTACAAACTGCAACCAAGATCCAAATACAAGTATAATTCTAACAAACAGAGAAAGGGAAGTGAACAAACAGAAATAAAAGAGGAAGAAAAAGGAGGAGTCGAATTGTATGTTTTGAAACGATAAGCAGGGAGCATCATGATGTTATTAATGGGTTGTTTTGCTGCTCTTTTCTTTGATCCTATTAATACCCGCAGCTACTCCTACCTTAGCTTTCTTAATGCCTGTTACTGCTGTGGCTTTCGTTTTGCCTAGGCCGCCATCAACCTTCTTTGAATTCTTAGCCTTAGCCTCTCCGCTGCTCTTGCTAGGCTCGGTTGGGAGGGGATCCGGTCCGTAGTCCCACTGATCAGCCCATGAGGTTCCATATGAGCTGCGCGGTTCCATTTTCAAGCTTTAATTAAAGGACAGGAAAAAGAAAAGATCGGATTGTTCAGTGCTGTTCTCTTTCTTGGAGTATATAAACGCGCCAATGTCCAGCCGAAAGCAAAATATTTATGCTTCTTGGTGGAAGTAGCTTGCTGCATCCGTACAAAAATGTATTGAAAACAATGTTTTTATTCCCGATTTGTTTCTGTTTTGCCAAAAAAGAATTTAGAAAGAAAAAAACACGTTTCAACAATTCAAAAGATGCCCGCTTTAAAAATAACTAGTAAGTGAACCCGGCTTCGCCTGGTGTATTCAATTAATTTTTAATATTTTATTTATCTAAAATAAGATAAAATAAAAAATATTATATTATATTATATTTTTAATCTAATTATAAACATAAACAAAGCTTAGAATATAAATAAAACAAATAAATAGAAGCATAAAAGAGGAAAAAAAAAGAATGAAAAAATATGAAAAGCAAAATCGAAACTTAAAAATTATCTCGTCCACAAAGAACCTAATACCGACAATAAACCTGGAAAAAAAACAAAACTTCATAATTTATAAGAACAAAAACAAATAAAATAACAAAATAATTATATAATTTAAAACGACGATAAAAATAGCAAACTTTATTAACAACTATTGGCTGCACACATACAAATACAGTGAATAATTAATCAATAACACAATTTAACAACCATTGGTGTAAAAAAACCACACACACACAGAGTAAATAAACTTTCAAATTTAATCAAAATCTATTCATATAAATTTGTTTATATGATTTGATTAATAGATGGACCTTAACAATTCAACACAAAACATATTCTATTAACAAAACCAAAAGTAGGGAAAAAAAACCATAACCCAAAATAAGAAAACATAATATAATGCTATATTTAGAATCTAACTATACACATAAAAAAAAAAACTTAAAACACAAATAAAAAAAAATAAAAGCACAAAAAAAAAAAAAAAAAAAAAACAACAATATGAATAGCAAAACCACAACTTAAAACTTACCTCACACATAAACAACCTAACACCAACAACTGAACCTTCAAAAAAATAATACTTCATAATTTATTAAAATATTTATGAGATGTTCTATGCTACATTAATCATGAATATGAGACGCATACTAAACATTAGTTATTAAAGTTTCTATTGAATTAGGGAAAAATTTAGTTCTTAAAGAAAACACAAGCCACTTCTAAATGGACAAAATAGCATTTTTTAGCATCTAAATGACTCATATTGATAGCTGCCTTATTTATATGCTTTCTTTCATAAAATTTATGAACACCAAAGTCGGATAACAACTACAAGAGCATTTGCAGCTTCATAATTTCTACTTGTTTGCAAACCTATCCACTTTTCATGACTGTTGTTAAATGCATTTATCATTCAATTTTAAGCACTAAATTTTGGCTTTCTATACCAAAGTATTTCTTTTTTAACAATTAATTATGTTAGTATCACTTCATTATGTGGACAATTTAAATTGGTTGGATCAAGGGTTCATTCAAAATTTGAATTTATTTGTTTGTTTATGGCAATTGAAGGATATGGCCAAAAGATTACCAATTGGAATAGCACAAAACAACAATTCACTTTCCTTCTGTTAGTGTAGATCCATTATTTCTTAGGATATTTTTTTTACAAGTAGTGAGCAATTAAGGGGTCTCATAAGCTACTATGAAATAAATGTTAAATTAACCAAATAGCCTAGAGATTTCTAATAGGTTGGGAACTAGTATAAATCACCTTTCAATTCACACTGAAGTGTATCAGTTGGATGGAATAACAAGGAATAAGAAAAAAACTACAAAAGTTGAACCAGTTCATAGGGTTGAATGAGTTAAGCAAGATGAACCTGTTGTATATATTACCCTTGTTGCATTGCCTAAAGTTGCTAAATATTTTAAACGTGTTCAGTTTAGGTTTGTTATATAACCATTGCCAACTTTCTTCTCTAATTCTTAGATTTTTGGCACTTAAAATCAAACAAAGCCCCACTATTTGAACAAAATGCATTGGCGAAAAAAGATTAAAACATCAATTAAAGGGATTGATCAAACTAACATTTGTCTTGTTATTACTGTAACATTCAATTGAACCTAAACCTTTTACCTAAAACCCTCACAAAGTGATCATAGTATATCTTTGGTTTAACATTTTCCAAAACTTGTATATAAATATTACCACCATTTCATTCTTCAAAACTAATTATAAACACCCTGAAAATCCTTCCAATTTCTCTTATTAACTATCTCATATATCTTTTTTATTAATAATTGATAAACAAAAATCAACTATACAATGTATTAAAAAAAAAAAACAGCACATTTACCTTAAAATTTAATATCCAAAAAGCTTGAAAAAAACCTAAGATAAAAAAATCAATAAAAAACAAATTGACAACTTTATTCAACAAAATGCAAAACAAAAAACTCCTAAA